AACTGCAATCTGGAGTTTGTGTGCCATGATTTTTGCCTTGTTAGTTCAGTTGGTTAGACTGTGGTGCTGATAACGCCAAGGCTGCAGGTTCGATCCATGTATGCAAGAGCTTCATATTCCTGCACTGCAAGGGCTGGACTAGATCTTCCCCAGGGTCCCTTCCAACTCTACAGTTCTATGATTCTACTAACCTACATGTACATTTAAATGATGTATTTTAATTCCCTTTTTCTAACAGATACGAAGATGAAATCAACAAGCGCACAACAGCAGAAAATGACTTCGTTGTGCTCAAGAAGGTGAGAAGCCATAACTGTTTTTAAGTCACAGTGAAATTGGTAATCATATGTGTTCTGACTCAAAACCTATGGCTGGCTAGTTGTGTGCCTTGATGGCCACACTCAAGATGCAAGCTTTTCCAGTAGTATTTCTGCAGCTCTCTATGAATTGAGATCTGCTAAAGTGAAGGAGACGACAAAACTGTTTTGAGACGGTGCACTACAAAGTGGAGATGAGGGGTCACATAGCTAAATGTTGGTCCATATTGGAAAAATCCACAATGCACATAGAAAATTAGACTTGCCTTCTCCCTGATATGCTAGCTTCCCATACATAGCGTCTTCCTCTTGCCCCATGAGAAGCACTCAGTGATGTTATCCCCATCTGCAATATTAAGTGGTACAGTTTTCGTATCACCGCTCCACTTGCTCTTTGTAGGAGCTAGAACTGAATGCAGCAAAGATTCTGAAAAAGCAACCTTAACGAAGATCAGGCTTACGTTCACGGAAGGTGAGGGAGATGGGCCACAGAATCATTTCTCAGAGTGATCAGTGTGCTGCAGACTTCGACTTCTACTGCTCTAACACCTTTGAAGATCATTTTCAGTAAAGAAAGAATTGTTGGGCACCTCTGTTGCACTGAATCACACTGAATATTGCACACGCTTCCTTATTATTTGGGCTGGACACCCAAAGCACATTTTCCATTGTGTAGACACGGCCTTTCTCTTCCCTTTGTTTACAAATCAAACAGACAAGATAGACAAGGAGAATAATAAAAGACACACAAAGAGGGAAGGTGACTTACCCAAAGTCAAACAGGCCGTTGGCAATGTTGGAAACAAACTAGGGCAAGGCAGCCCAAACGTGGTGACTGTGGGCGCACATGTGCCCCCAGAGCCTTCCCTGGAGCCCACAGTGTCTCCTCCTCCACTGAAGTTAGTCTTGAAATTAACTGTTGGAACCAAAAGAATAGATGGCTTTGTGTGCTTGGTTGATGTGTGGTGTGGTGCCTAGGAGGAATTTCTCCAGGTTGGCATGCACCTACAGACCCAAAAAAGGTTGGCAACCCCTGGACTCCCTGCTGAGGGCTTGAAGGACCCCGCCCTTGACTCTTTCCACCTGGCTTGGGTGGGGCTTGACAGGCTTCACAAGGACTGCACCTGTGCCTTAGCACCGAGAGCTCCTCTTTTAAACTGTTTTTAATTTTTATCTGTGTTGTTTTAAAATGAGAATGTATTGGCTGTGAGCCCTTGGAAGACCTGCCACCCTACCTTATTGGCCCTTTCCCATCTGGCCTGGGAGAGTGGAGTGCGGACTGACTCCAGCTACAAAAGCTGAGGCTGTTGAACAAATTCCTGGGCTGGAGCATTGTTTTGCGGGGGGTTGAGAGAGCTATTGCCATTATTAATATTATTGTTGGTATCTTTAGTTTTAGATCTTATGATTTGTGTAGAAATTGTTTCCATTGGGTTGTGTATTTTTGATGTGTTTTATTGTTTATGACTTCTGTTATGTTTGTAATTATGTAGATCTTGTCATGTTGTAAGCCGCCTTAATCATAGTTTCAACTATGGAAAGACGGCATACAAATAAAATGATGATAATGTTGATGTTGATGATGGACTAGGACAGTTCATATTAAGAGCAGGGCACAATGGTTTTCAGTCCGAGGGTGATTAACTCTTGGTACATGGAGGTGGAATTCTCCATCAGTTGCACAAGGTGACAATAGTTTCTCTTCAACCATAGTCCTCACTCCAGTGAAATCTCATTCAGTGTACTTGGTTTTCTTTATTTATGTATTTAAGGAACATATACTTCAATAATACACAAGAATAATGAAAGCCAATTAAAATTAAAAACACACACAATACAAATGTGGGTAATTTTGTTCACAGTCCCTGGGAAAAACCATAATTATTTTATTTATAAATATCAGGATATTTTCCTTGATGTATTACAACAGTCTCACTTAAAACTGCAAAGTTACTAATTCCTATTTTTCAGCAATAGCTATGGACTAAATTTGACTGTACCATAAATCCTTATTTGATCCCTCTAAATATTTTCTTGCAATAACCATCCTTAGAGAATCTATTCTTTATTCAAACCATCTGCATTTGGCCCCATCTCATATCTCCAGTAATGCTAACAAAGGGGTTGGTATCAATTCTTGCTTTGTTATTAGATTAACTGCTAGGAACACCATCTCTCCCAAAACTGCCAATTGGGTGACACTCCCACCAAAACATGTAAATATGTGCCTTTATGTTATCAAACTTGATTTTCTGATTGTGTTTTAGGATGTTGACGCTCCTACATGAACAAGGTGGAGTTGGAGGCCAGGGTGGATGGAATGACTGATGAGATAAACTTCCTGAGGGCACTCTATGAAAATGTAAGTAAACTTCTCTATGCTCTTTCCACCATTTAGGATATCCTTTTCCAATCTGGTGCCCTCCAGATGTTGTTGGATTCCAACTCACATCAGCCTCCCAGCTAGCATGGCCAATGGTCAGGGGTGGACAGGAATTGTAGATCAAAATAGATGAGGGCACTAGGATGGTGAAGGTCTCTGCAGTTCTCCAGAGTTTCACACGGTAGCCTTTCCTAGCCCTACCTGGAGATACCATGGGATTGAACGCTGGAAGCTTCTGCAGATGAACCAGGTGCCGCCTTCCCAAATTGAGCTCTTAAAATGGGAGGGAATATTTTTGCTCAGATCCTGACTTAAATATTCTAACATTCGTTAGGAAAAAGAAAAGAACATGGTTATGTTTGCATGCGTCCTTTCAAGGAACAACAAAAAGTATTGTTAAGTAATGTATTTGTAGCGAAGAAAGACAATTGGCCCTTGCTTAGCATATCCGGTTGGTTTCCTCACATGTTTCTCATCTGCAGCAGATGAAAGTCAAAAGGAGTTTGCAGGTCTTGTTGGTTTAATGACTCAATATTGATATTCTTGTGGCAGGATGAACTCAGTATAGGCCACGTTGCAGGAATGGGGGGAGATAATACCTTTGAGCCTGTACCAGTTGATAATTGAAACTGGTGTCTGGCTTCAGTGGGATATTTGTCTCCATTATTCTCTGTGCATGCTAAGCCACATAACCAATAAAGATTGCAATAATGGTTTATCTGGAATATTATGTCCACCATTTTGCAGCGACTTTAAAATGCTGCGTGCAAGCAGCTATGTTAACCTTGTGGTGAACTGAATAGATGAATCAGTCAGTTATCACCACAGGCACCCCAAAAGGGAAGTTAAAGTTGGTGTGCTGAAATTGGCTCATTTTGAGTTATAATTTGAACAAGAGGGTGTTCATGGTGTTGTTGGACTTCAACTCCCATCAACCTCAGTCAGCATGGTTAATGGTCAGGGATGATGGAGCTGTAGTCCAGCAACATCTGGAGGATCCACCTGTGCTTTAAGAGTTGGTTCCAGATTCTCCCCCAGGTGAATCAGGATGACCCTGAAAAATGGTGGGGCTCCAAATCTGCTCCTGATATCATTCTGTGTCAATGGAACCTGGGTGAAATTGGCACACACTTTCACATGGCCATTAATTCTGGCAAAAGTGGGGAACTATTCAGTGATTTGCAGGGGCAAGGAAAATGTAGCAGCGGAGTGCCCTTCCTCCCTTTCAATACTGCCACTAAGAAATACCCTTAAGACTTTAAATGCAAATTGAAAATAAGCCAAGGGAGATGAAAATGATAGAGGATGGGATTCCCTTAAGACGTCCTGTCAGCAGAAGCCTTGTGTAAGGTCTTCTGCTTGCACAACAAGGCTTCCCCCCTCCCACTGCATGCCTGCTGAAATTGCCTGGGGTGTGTGTGTGTGTCTCCCTCTACCCGCCAGACTTTAATTTTGTTACTCATAAACCCTAATGGTTCCTGATCTGAAGGAAAGGCAGGATGTTAAGAAGGATAACAGACAATGAATGCACATCTCTTTAATTTTCCAGGAACTGCGTGAGCTGCAGAACCAGATCTCAGATACTTCTGTGGTGCTTCAGATGGACAACAACCGAAACCTGGACTTGGACAGCATCATCGCTGAAGTCAAAGCTCAGTATGAGGAGATTGCCAATAAGAGCAGGATTGAGGCAGAAAGTTGGTATCAAAGCAAGGTGAGCCATGGTGGCAAAGATGAACTCATAAGGAAACAACTGTTTTGGGGATATGAATAATATCCTCCCATAATGAGTTGGCTACCAATTACAGTCTTGACTGATGAGAAGTCAATGTCATTTCATATTTGCTGCATTCCCTGATTTGATCTTGAAAGGAGACACCCCCCCACACAATGATCACACCTACCTTTTAAAGCCTCCAGGACTTCTATAATGGAAGTGCATAGTTCCAGGCTCTCTGATCTGCCCATTGTGATGTCATAATTTCCACCTTAACCAATTGTTCCTCATCCTCCTCTGCATTGTGTTATTGTGTTGATGCCTGTTGGCTAATGCATTCAGGATGCTTCACACAAATAATCAAAGAGACAGATGAACTGATCATTGTAACAGTGAAAGGGTAACCTCATTTTTGTAATCTCTGTACTCATTTTTCCTCTTTCCACAAACACATTAACTCTTCCTGAGTGCATACAATGGGTTGCATTCACTGCAGTAATAAGCAAAAAATTTCCATCAGTGCAAATTCCCCTTGTGCAACAGAATGCTCTCTCCCTCTCCTCCCCCTGTGCCCACCCCCTAGACTTGGCAATGGTGCCAGGAGAAATCCTCTTGCACTAGCACATTATTTAGTTAAATGCCACCGTATAGGTACCATGTGTCTTTGGCACTGGCCCTGTCACCAGAAAGAAGAGCCTGTGGTGAGGAGGGGAGACTGTTTTGCTGCAACAAATCCCACCTGCACCTTCAACAGCATCTCTCCTCTCTGTTAATCTCAGTATGAAGCCCTGCAAGCCAGTGCTGGGAAGCATGGCGATGACCTGCGGAACACAAAGAATGAGATTGCTGAGATTAACCGCACAATCCTGAGAATGCAGGCTGAGATTGAGAATGTGAAAAATCAGGTGAGTAGCTGGAAAGAACTCTTTGTGGGGTTTTCCGTGATACAACACACACACACACACATTGACTTAAATGAATTATGGGGATGTTCCTGCATAGGCCAAACAGGCTCTACTCCCCACATCTCTTGTGACTTTGTGCTTCTATAATTGCCAACTTGGTGTGTGTGTGTGTGTGTGTGTGTGTGTGTGTGTGTGAGAGAGAGAGAGAGAGAGAGAGAGAGAGAGAGAGTTAGTTAGTTCCCTTTCCTCCACCCCTGGAAGAAACTGATGCCCCCCTCAAGAACAGGGGTCAGCAAACTTTTTCAGCAGGAGGCCAGTCCACCGTCCCTCAGACCTTGTGGGGGGCTGGACTATATTTTGAAAAAAGAAGAAGAATGAATTCCTATGCCCCACAAATAACCCAGAGATGCATTTTAAATAAAAGGACACATTCTACTCATGTAAAAAGATGCTGATTCCTGGACCATCCACAGGCTGGATTTAGAAGGCGATTGGGCCAGATCCAGCCCCCGGGCCTTTGTTTGCCTACCCGTGCTCAAGAACTGTAATTTCAGTTTAAAGTTGTTGGTTTCTCATTAACAGGCATTGCATTGGCCACTATATAAGGTAGCCTTTTGGCCTGATCCTGCAGGTCTCCTATGAATGTTGGCTCCATGACAGTTCTGGCCAGGAACTTTACTACTCTTTCCTTCTGTCTTCTGTCAATCATTGGCGGTTTGCTGAGTGGATGACATGTTGGTTTTTTGTATTTTTTTTTTAACGTACGGTAATTGTGTACCCGCAAGGACTAGATATTTCATGATGAATTAACCAGAAAGCTTGCTTGCTCAAAAGCTGGGGAGATAAGCCATTGTGAATCACTCCCCATAGTGTTTGTTTGGCTTTAGGGCAGGGCGGCTCCAGCAAACATCCACACCGAAGCAAACAGTGAGACCCAATTCACCGCCTCTGAATAATGAATGGAAGCCCAGATGCTCAGCAATACGCCCTTCCTCTCCTTTATATTTGCATTGCACGCTTTACATTGCATTATAGGAGAGTCTAGTACTGATAACAGAGCAATGGGAGCGCAAGAAATAAATGAGTCATTGGCAGCAATGCAGTTGGCTAGTCATCATAGTCTCAGTCATCTTTGCCTCCTCCAAGCAGCAATCTGATTGTAAGCAGTTGTTGCAGCATGGACATGCACTCCCCTGTTGCAATATATATTGTTATGAACCAAGTGTTGTAAATAAAATATATGCCCTTTTCCCTTATGGGGTATCCAAGAGCCCATATAGAGTCCTTACATAGGTTCCCTATTGGTAGGAGAAAATAACAGAGGCCAACCAGAGAATATTGAGAAGCAAAGCAGCTAGTAAGCTTGATCTTTATTGATCTGTTGCAACAGGGTACTCTCCTCACACGCAGGAGAAGAAGAGGACCCAGAACAATGGCCTGCAAGGCCTTATAAAGACTTTTGAAATTCCCATCCTCTAGATCAAGACCACCCCAGAAACATTATGCATACATCACAGAAGGGGTGTAACCTAAGACCACCCCTCAGATACATCCCACCTACATCACAGAAATTTAAATGTTGTTTTTCTCTTCTCCTTGTTTATCTCCTGTCTAGCAGGTTACTTGATTGGATTTCTGGAGAGCCTGGCCATTCTTTTGTAGTGGTAAAATAGTTATTTCCTGGGCCAGGTCACAGGCTCACACCCTTATTCAAACACAGATTAAGACAGGATTTGTGAAGGACCAGACAATGGGGAGGCTTTTTCCATTTTTAACCTTGCAGAGAAACATTTGCTCAGTTTTAGGAATCAAAATGGTTCCAGGTTGGCTTTCCTGTGTTGATCTATGTATGTGCAGTTTATGAACATTACTATATATTTAAGACCAATAAAATTCCTATCACATTATTCCCCCCTTTGGGGCTAGAATTTTTCTTAAAATTTTTGCCCCACAAATAATAACATCTTATGTTGTAAATGGATGTGTTTGTATAAATATATCATATAAAATAACACATGTTGCGTTTTGCTACTAAATTACTTGTGGCATTCTAACACTTTGGGAGAGGACCATTTACTCAATAGTGTTCTATGCTTTACACCTAGCAGGAAGGTAAGGTCCACTAATGACTGAAAAGTGCAGTTGCTTCCCCCCGCCATTTTTGTGTTCTCAGGTGTCAAGGTAGCTCTTCTGTGGTCTCACACTGACATAGTGCTACAGCAACACATCCTGTCTGTTGAATCCCCTCAGGGCTTTCATTTAACCATGTTGCCTGGCATTCACCATTAGCTGGCACAGGTTTGGGGCATCTCGTGAGGGAGATGTCTTCGCCTTGGCCTTCAGCTATGGGATTTTATTATAGGCTGTGGTCTTGCACTCATGGAAGTTGCTCACTTGCACTTAAAGGACCAAAAAGCTAATTGCAGCCTGGATACACTTGCCCAATTCAACTGAGTCCAATTTGAATTTATCTTGCCCCATGATTCTCAAGTCTTCAAACCAATCTGTTAAAAGAAAACCATTCTTAACAAGGGCAGTTGTCCAAATAAGTCAATTTAAGTCTATAAGGGATCATTCCTGCTAAACCAAAGCATATCACCTTCATGTACCTGGTGTTTTATGGATCCAGAAGCTTGTCCTTGGCAAAATGAGGTTTAACATATTTTAAAATGGATAGGGAAGTTGGCAGAGTGCCAGGTGGGACAATGAAATGTGGTTATCTAAACATTGGACTACACAATAGTGTGAGCTATTAGAAAGTATAAAAATGCATGAGAATTCTCCACTGGTGTGTAAGGAATAAGACATTAAACATAAAAACAGTTACACACAAAAAATTGCCCCCTTTGTGGAAATCACACTGTCAGACACAGAGGTTCAAGTGAAAAAATGTCCTTGCAATTCAACTCCTCCCCCTTTTGTCAGCCCCCATAATACAAAACAAAATAATTAAATATCTGTTGCATATCTTGACACAATTGTGATCTTTTACGTATGTATCTTTTGAATCCTGGAGCAGAGGCTTGAGGTTCAAGTGAAAAAATGTCCTTGCAATTCAACTCCTCCCCCCTTTGTCAGCCCCACTTCCCCTTTGAAAGAAATTGCTGTGGCCACTTTGAGAACTTTGGCGTCTGTTGTTGCTGCTGCAGGTAATAGTCTTGTGGTGGCGAAGCTTTTCATTGGATCTGTAGTAGCACATCTGTAGAAGTGATATCCTGTAAGGGGCAGGGTTTTGGAGACTAAAGACAAGAGTTAGAAAGAAGGGGCAAAAGCCCCCTCCAAGAAAATCTCCTTGAGTTATTAGCTGCAAATAATAAAATCTTAGCATGTTAAGCATTTTTACTCATTTAATATTATTATCACATTTCCATATAATTACTGTTATTATCTGCTAAGTTTGTTTGCTTTCCTTCATTTAGTTTTTTCTCCATATTATTAAATAAAAAATTACTCCACGTGTAGAGAAAGAGAACTGTAAAAAAATACAACAAAGGTTAAAAAATAAAAAAGAAAAGCAAAAAATTAGATTACCAGTCAGATGAAAAGACTTGACACAAAGAGATCAGATTTAGAAAAGAATTATTATTAAATATACAAAGATATTATCAAAACCACAGATTACTACTGGACTAAAAAAATGGGAAAACACATGGGGGAAAACCTTTAAATTCACCATGTGCTATCTGATAAAAGAACTTCATGAAAACTGACTTTCAACATGTGATGAACATGTTCCCCAAAGTAAAACACACACACAACAAAATGAGCTATGAGGAACCAAAAAATAAATAAATGCTAAGGCACACAATGAAGTAACCTGAAGTAATCTGTTTTGGCATTCTAACATCCCAAATGAAAATAAAAGTGTTTCTTGATGTGACATCAGCTGTAAATGGTTAATACGGATATACTGGGAAATGAGTTAAATACCAATAAAAATAAATTGAATGGCAATTTAAAGTTGTGGCAGGTTACCTGTGGCACTAGCCAAAAATGACAGAATTAATAAGAAATGCCTCAGGCAAAAGGTAAACCAAATACCATTCCACAAACAATGTGTTGGTTGTGCTTGCGATTTAATTTCATATATTAGTAAATGGAAGAACTGATAAAACGAAACTTAATACAACGAAAACAGATTTATTTTGTAACCTAAAAAAAAATGTTCAAAGATAGAGGGAAAATCAAACTAATATAGCAGGGATTCAAGACTGTTTTTGCCTGAACAGAAAAGAAAGTGACTGTTTTGGCTTTAAGGGAAGAAAGACAAAAGAAATACAAATGCAATTACTTTTTATAGAGTATTTAAATCACTGTTTGCATCCCCTCATTATCATTTGTGCTGTGGGAGAAAAGAAGGGACAAACACTTTGTTAATGGGTTCACATATCCTGTTAAAAGGGGAAATTATTTCATGTGAGAAGTCTGCCAGGAAATGCTGTTCCTAAAATGCATAGGCATATACACAAACAAACAAAACAAACTGTTAAATCCCATTGGGGAGGCAAACTACTCAAGAGAGGAACTCACAGTGGGAGTGCTTTGATCTCCCTGCAACCACGCTCTCCAAACCTCCTCCCCCCTCCCTTTCTCTCCTCTCTCTCTCTCTCTCTCTCTTTTTTAAGCGATCTAGCCTCTGTGGCATGTGCAGAGTTCATGTCTCAGCAAACCTTTTATAACCATTGAAATGTTGCATCTTTGGCTCAATTAGAAATAAGGGAAGGAAAGGTAGGAGTAGATTTTAAAAATAGGGTTACGATTTTAAAACAAAAAGAGAAACTCAGCAATTTAAGTATTCACCAAAGCTAGCAATTTCAGCCCAAGCAAAGGAGTGCTTCCTTTATGTACAGGAAAGGGCTATCATTATTATCATATTATTGGTCATTTTATCTGGTCATTCACGGAACAATCAACCGCTCTCTTATTTATGAGTAAAAATGGCCAGAATCAGAATTCATAGGATTTATTTTTTTTAACATTCTCAGTCATTTCAGCCTTACCATTACAGACAAATTTTACTGCCCTTTATTTACAGGATTGGTCAAGGCTAATTCTACTTGACTATATGAATTTTATGTGCTTAAACTTTTAATAGACTTTTAAGTTGATTTTTGTAAATAATAGACAAAACGATAAACACTGTAATCACTTAAATGCCTGAT